GGGACCGTCCCGCAGCTCGGGCGGGGCGCGCAGGTGAGCGGCGCGGGTGGGAGCGGAACGGACCGGACCGGCGGGGGCTGCGCGGACAACGACCGACCGGTACCGCTGCCGGTGCGGCGACCGCTTGATCGCAGCCCGGTTGCGGTGAGTCGCGTGGGGCCGGGATGCTGCCGGCGGGGTGCGGAGCTCCCGCCCGCTGCTCCGCGCTGGAGCCGGTGGTCACGTCGCCCGTGGGGTGGAGGGGGGGCCACGCGTGGGGTCTTCCCGGTCCCTCCGGACGGGGCTGCGGGAAACTGGTGACACCGGTCGATCCCCGCCGGCTCCGGTGCTGCCCTTCAGCCGCGGTCCCCATTGCACTCACCCCATAGGTGAGCAGGTGCTGCCGCCATTCCCCCGCCCTTCCTGGCCCCATGAAGAAGCTTAGCCGCATCCCCGTGTGCACCGGGCAGGGGCAGCACCGGTGCGGCGGGGAGGCAGCTCGGGAGCCAGCCCCACTGCGCCGGTGCCGATAGAGATGTGAGCGGAGGGTGGGGGTCTCCATGTCCTGGCACCCTGCGCCACGCTGGTGACCTGCTGGGCCTGGTGTGCTGGCAGCGGTGGTGGGTGCCTGGCTGCTGGCCGTTGGTCAGGGACCACCACAGGGGTGCCCGTCGGGCCCGGTGCCTCAGTGGCACCCGCCGAGCACCGGTGGACTCTGCCCCGCGCACACAGAGCTGCTGTGCTTGTCCCCCCCGGCCGGCTGTTTGCCCGAGGCGGGGTGCGGTATTTACCCTCCTGCCGCGGCCCACGCCGGTGCAGAGCTGCGTCTTGGGCCACAGCCGCCCTTGACCCAGGGTGGCTTTTGCCAGGCAAGAGGACTCAGTGCCAGGTTTGGCCTGAGGTGAGTCTTGGTGTGTCTGTGTCCCCCGCCAGAGCCAGGCTGGGGGTGGGGATGGGGTCCCCTGGCACTGGCACACGGCAGCTGCTGGCAGCTCGAGGCCTCGGCGGTGATGCCGGCGCTGGGCGCCAAGGGAGGGGTTTGGCTCAGGAACTTGAAGCGTGTGCGTGGAGAAGGGGAAGCTGTGGGGCAGGCGAGGGTGTGGGGCGTCGGGGCTGGGGTGCCCTCACTGAGGACAGGGACGCAGAGAGAGTGAACGGGCCCAGGGAGGTGACCGGGGGGGGAGACATCAATGGTGGGTTCTGGGGACCCTCCGAGACCCCCGGCCAGGGCCCGGCGTGGCATGGCCGTGGTGCTGAGCCCGAGGCCGTGGCAGCGCGGCTCTGCCAGCTGGTGCTGTGCACCCTCGGTGCACACGTGGCACGAGCGCGACGGGTCCCGAGCATGGCGGGGGGGGGCCCGCGGGCGCAGCGAGGGGTGCGGGGCCAGCAGGACCCCCCCGCTCCCCGGCCCTCGAGGGGCGGCCACTGCCCCGTGCGCGGAGCAGGAACTTCTCCTCCGGGGCGGGCGGGGGATGATGAAACCACGGAGAAATCTCTCCTGGCAGCGCGGCCGCTGGCGGGAGCCCCCGGGAGCCCGCGCTCCCCCTGCGCCGCCGCCTTCCCATGGTAACCCCACCTCGGGAGCTGCTGGGGGGAGCCCGCCCCGTCTGGAGGGGGGTGCTGGCGCCCGCCCGGCTCCCCGCGTCCCCGCCGTGCTCCGGGAGCTGCTTGTCCACACCCCAGAGAGCCCCGGGGCAAGCGGAGGACCCAGCGAGGGGCTGGGCTGAGACCCGTCCAACTCGCTTCGTGCCAGGGAGATGACGCTCGGGTGGCCGCGCAGGCAGCGGGGGAAGCAGCCGGTGCCGGTGACCTTCAGCGCGGCCGGTGCGTGGCCGTGCCCCGTGCCCGGGGATGGATGGGCAGTTCGGGTGCTCGCTGCCCGGGGGGCCCCGGCACCCCTGGGGCCGGTGGTGTGGCTCGGGGGGGGGAGCGTATGCGGGCGGGGGGACAAGCCTTGGCGAGGGAAAATGAAAGCAGGTGATGCGGAAGGAGAAGTAGGTCAGGCGAGCGCTGGCCTCTCCCGGCAGCCTTGGCTGCACTGTGAGCTCTGCTCTGCCCCGGCTGTCCCTGCCATGTCCCCAGGCCCCATGGGCAGCGGCTGGACGGGGCGGTGAGTGGGGGTCCTGGCACCGGATGCTGGGTCCAGGGCAGGGTGGGTACCAGCGCTGCCTGCCCTGGATGCTGGCCACTGGCGGACTGGGGAGCGCGGCCGCGCTGGCTGGCACACGGTGGGCACGGCGGCACCTCGGCAGGTTTGCTTCAGTTCCCCTCCCACGGGTATCGCCGGGGGCTGCGGTGAAGATGGGCAGGAGGATGCTCCGCTTCTGTCCCAAGAAGGGGAGGGAAAGGGGATTCCCGTCTCGTCTGGGCTGTGCAGAGTGAGCCAGCGCGGTGGGGACAAACATCCTGGCGGGGCTCGGGGCCGGGGGCAGCCCCATGTGCCGCAGGGGCGCTCCACGTCCGGCTTCGCCCTCTCACGGCACGGGGCTTTCTGTGGTCCTGCTCGCGGTGCTGCGTGGGTCGAGCTGTGCCGGGCACAGCCCCGCTGGCAGCGCTACGTGGGCTCGGGGGGGATTAGAGCCGCCTGCCCCCCCCCCCGCGCTCCCCTGGGATCAGCCGTGGGCAGCGGGAGCTGGCAGCAGGCAGCGCTCTGGGGGCGGAAGCCGGGCTATTTCGAGGGGTGTGGAGGGGGGGGCTGTGGGTTGGCACTGTCCTTGCCGGGTGACCCCACCGGGGCCAGCGCCGCCCCGCAGCCCGGAGTGAGCCCCGGGACCCGGCCGGTGCCGGCTGCCGGCGCTCAGCCTCCGGGAGCTGCCGGGACAGGGACCTCTCGGTGGGGAGGAGATGCCGCCAGCCTGGGGGCTCCCCCGGGGCTGTGCAGAGCGGCGGAATTGGGGGCCTGGCTGCTCTCCAAGGGGCTCCCGTGACCGTGCGCTGCAGGGAGGGCACCAGAGCCGGTTCACCCTGGGGTCTGTGCATGGGACCCGCCGCGGGCAGCGCTGTCGGTCCCAGGCTGGGAGCTCAGAGCCTCGTCCCGCTGCCACCGCTAGCAGAGCCTTGCTCCGTCCCAGTGAGGTCCTGGCCAGGCCGGGCTGTGCGAGCCGGGGCCTGGCTCCAGCGGGCCCCTCTTGCTGCTGTCAGGGGTAGGCTGGGCACTGGCTGGGCACTGGACGCGTCCCACCTCGACTGCAGGCCTGACTGCTGGGGGACCTCGAATGGGTTTCACCCTGTGCTGTGGTGATCAAACATGGGGTTTGCTATTGACCATCTCCTTCCTGTTCCCCCTGTTCCCAGGTTCCATTTCAACAACCCCTTCCTTGCTTGCTTCCTTCCTTCTTTCCTTGCTTCCTCCCCCCTGCCTGCTCCTGTCTGTAGGCCCATGAGGGAGCAGCTGGGGGCAGCCCGTGTCTGGCCTCGAGTGGCCTCTTGCAGTGGGTGATGCTGGCAGCAGGGAGCCCATGGGTGATCCTCAGAGGCCACATGCCCTTGGCCACATCTGTCCTGGCCACCCATGGGTAAGCAGGTGGCTGTAGGACCCGCTGTCCTGGCAGGATGGGGTTTCCCGTGTCAGGATGTGGTGCAGGGGATGGGGATGCCCATGGCTGGACAGCATCCTACTGTCAGGAGTGGGGCTGGTGCCATGTAGGAGCTAGGATGCTGCTGGAGCTCGTGTCGCATCAGTGGTGACAGTGGTCAAGGTGCCTCTGCCCAAGGCAGGGGCTGAGCATGGAGGAGCATGGATGAAGGTCAGCCCATCCTACCCAGGGGCCAGCACCTCCACCGCCTGGTCCCTTATGGGTGGGCACCGCTTGGTGCCCCCCAGCCGGGGCAAGCAGCAGTTTGTGGTCGGCACATGAGCGGTTGCAACACCCCCAGGGTGGGGGGGCCGTGGTGAGTCACCCAGCGGGGCCTGGCCACCAGCGGGAACCCTGAGTCAGGCTGCGTGCCCATGCCGTGCCCATCCGTGCCCCTCCCTGCCCGCCTCGCCCACCTTATCTCCCGCCCTTAGCACCAGGCACACCTCGCCGGGGGGGCTGGCGCCATTCCCCTCCTTTATGGGGAGCAAAGGGCAGGCGGAGGGTTGGCAGCAGGGTGCTGCATCCCTCCCCTTCGTCCCACCTGGGATGCTGCCCCTGAGCTGTGCTCCCCGATGGGGCCTTCAGGCATCGTGGACATGTGATGGGCAAGGCTGCAGCATCCCTGCTCCCAAGCCCCACGCTGCCTGCACCACCACCGCCTGCACCAGCGCTGCTCCATGGCCACACGGTGTCTGCTCTCCCTGCCTCATGATGACCCGCAGCACCACAGCCCCTGAACCGCAGTGACAGGGGACGAACTGCCCTGCGTGGCAGTGCCCCTCTGCCACCCCCTCTGCCCGCTCGTATGGTCGGGCTCTTGCACAACCCGGCTCATTCCACAAGTGTTGCTGGGGCTGGAGGCCCCCTCCCTGCCTGCTGTGGGGCTCTTCCCCTTTCTGGGGGGCAGCCCCACGGCAGGGCCCTGGCACGGCACTGGCCATGCTGGTGTGGGTGGCCAGGGCGGATTCTGGATGCTGGCGGTGGGGTGTGGGGAGCGCTCCCTGTGCTGCTAATTGCTGTTTAGCTGGGGATGCAGAGGGTGTAATTATGGGGGGGGGGGGGGGGGATTGCGTGAACCTGCAGCCGGCCCCTGGGGGCTGTGGGGGCACGAGGGGCCCGTGGGTGCCCTGGCACAGGGGGCCAAGCAGGACCCGAATCCCCCCTCCCCACGGTCACAGCATCCCCTGTGGGACAGTGGGGACCTGCTCCGGGGGCAGAGCAGGACGTGCATCGGCAGGGCCGGGGGCTGGCTCCGGGGCCCGCTGGGCAGGCCCTGGCACGCCGGACCAAGCCCAACCCTGTGGTGGCAGCCCCGCTCCCGCCAAGCGCAGGCGCCCTCCTGCCTTGGCCGGGCCAGCCGCAGCCATCGGCCAGCACCCAGCGCCCAGCGCCCTTCCTTGGGGCGGCGGGAGGGCCAGCGCCCATTGACGCCTTGGCGTGGGGGGCCTGGCAGGCGTCGGGACAGCGATGCGGGCGGCGGAGAGGGGATGCTCGAGGCACGAGGTGCCGGTGCTCCCGGTGCTGGGGCTTTCCTCCCGCGGGAAGGGGCCCGGGGATGCCCCCTGCCTGGTTCCGGGTTGGGACCCACGGCACGGCACCGGCCGTGAAGGGTTAATGCCGTGTGTGTTCTGGGAAGCGGGGCTGGGAGGTGCGTGACCCGGGGTGTGGGCGTCGACTCCTTTTGAGGTGGGATCCTGCGCTCAAGTGCAGCGGGGAGCGGGGCCAAGTTCACACAGCACCCGGCCTTCCCCTCCCTGCCGCTCGCGCCGCCAACCCGGCCGCGGCACGGTGCCGAGCCCTGCCAGGACCCCTGCCAGGTGAGCCCTCTGCCCACCCGGCACCACTGGACAGCGCGGTCACAAAGGTGCCGGGGCGGTGGGGACACGGCGTGGTACCACCGGGAGCAGGGAGGGCCGGGCAGAGCTGCCTTGGCACCGGCAGAAGGCTGCCGGGATGTTGGCGTCGCCTGCACCCTGCACCGCCCTCGCTGCCAGTGGGACGGGATGGGACGGGATGGGACGGGATGGATGGCGAGGTCCAGGTCACCGCAGCCCAGCAGAGCAGGGCCCACACCCTGCGGTGGTGATGCCAGGAGCTGGATGCGCCTGGGATGGGTGGTGGGGACGGCAGCGGGAGGGGGCTGTGGTGCTGGGATGGGGCCATGGTGCCATCGTGGAGCCGGTGGGCAGGGAGCTGGCGTGGGAGCTCAGCTGGGCTGCTCCCTGCTGCAGGTGCTGGCACTGTGGCTGCTGCCCTTGCCCAGCCTCCACCCCGGCATCCTGGCACCGGGCCGCAGGAGCTAGGCCGTGGCACTCAGACCCCTCCTCAGTGCCTATGGAGGCTGTGCCCATGCAGGGCTGGTGGTGCCAGGGGCCTAGAAGCTGCCCTGGTGGCACTGTGGGCATGAGGAGCGTGGCGGTAGTGGGGGTCCAGGGTGGGGCTGGGGGCTCTGTTTATCCTCTTCTCTCTTCAAACCATTTCCTTTCGTCTCTGCTCGCTGTTTTCTTCTTTCTTCAAAGAGCCGTTTGCTTCCCCTGGCACCTTCCCTCCAGCACCCGCACGGACCCTGGCGTTTGCCCACCATGGGGCCACCAGCCCAGCCGGACCCCAGCCTGCTGCTGGGTGGGCAGAGGGGGTGCACAGCCCCTCGCCATGCTGCCCCCCCACACCACGGCAGCTGGCACCGGCACCACTGCCACTCCCCACTGGCTTCAGGCAGGACAGTGTGGGCCGAGGCAGGGGGGATGCAGGTCCCAGACCCCTTTCTGGCTCCCTAAGTATGCAGGGGCCGTTATGGGATGAGGGGCCAGGGCCGGGTCCATGCCTGGCGCTGCGCTCCCCTTCCTGGGTGACTCATTCTCCCCAGTGCGGCTGTGAAGTCCCTCGACAGCGTTTGTGACTCCTGTGACTGAAAGTGCTTGGCAGCAGCCAGGGTGGGGGCTGTGCTCACTGGGACCCCTTCCCCATGGGGGAGCAGATGGGGGGAGCCCAAGGCACCCCCACCATCCCCAGCCAAAGCTGGTGGCAGCAGCTGGCACTGTGCCGGCATGCAGAGTGTCATCCTGGCTCGGCAGCATTGGATGGAGCCAGTTCTCACACAGTTCTCTTCAGGGCCGGACCCCCACCCTGCTGCATGTGGCTGTGCCAGGGCAGCCAGACCCCCATGGCCGGGGGAGCTGGCAGGTGAATGGGGCTGGCCATGGTTGTGCCAGGCAGCGCGGTGTCAGGGTGACCTGGGCAGGCATTGTTCCTGCTGCCACCCGCCCCGGCACGAGAACCGGCTCTGCTTGGGGAGCGACCCCCCCTTTCCTCGGCCCCGTGTGGCTGCCGCAGCTGAGATGGGCCCAGCCGCAGGCATTGACGTAACCGAGACAGCCCCGGTGCGGCGGGGGCCCCGGCATCGCCGCCAGCCCCCTCCCCGGCCCATGCCTCCTGCACCATAGGCTCCGGCACAGCACTGGGGGCCAGGGGTGTCTCTGGCAGCCTCACACCTCGTCCCCCCCGTTTCCTTATCGCCGCTGTAATCTCCTTGATGGCAGCACCCGCTCGGCATGTGACTTCTCCAGCGGGGAGGATGCGCGGGGGGTGGGGGTGTTGGCGAAGGAGGCGGTTTGGGGCGATGGAAAATCCCCCTCCTGCCGCTGCCTCGCCCCCGCCCCGCGCCAGCCCTGTGCCCTTGTCCGTGGCCCCACGGCTGCGTGCGGGGGTCCCAGCTCCTCACTGGGCTGTGCTGGGCCTGCGCCACGACGGGTTCCGCGGCACCGGCAGTGCTCAGGCTGCTCCCACCTGCACGGTGACACGGTGAGGCGGGTGGCTGTGCCCATCCTGTGAGTAAGGATGGCGCTTAGGCTGCGATGCTGGGCTCAGGGACCCCGGGTGTGGGAGCTCCAAGGTGGGCACATGCTGGTGGCACCATCATCCCTGTGCCAGGAGTCTCAGGGGGCTGAGGGTGCTGTGGGGGACCAGGGGATGCATCCCGCTGCCACTGGCCTTTAGCAGGAGGAGGAGATGGACGCCACCCATCATGGGACCATCACCTGCAACCACCTTTGGGGTCCGAAGTGCTCGGGGCCGCCCCCATGGGCACCGCGTCCCCACTGCCCCAGGCATGTCTCAGGGCGCTCACCTCCCCTAATCCTGCCCCCGCTGCTAATGCTGCCTAATCCCACCGGGGGCTGTCGCTGCCTGTTGGCTCCCAGGGCCCTGATGGTTTAATCACCCCTAATCCGCTCGCCCCCGCCGCAGCAGGGACCCCGGCCGGCGGCGCCACGGGCTCCTGCCAGGCGCTGGGGCAGCCGTGGAGCGCCTGGCGCCAGCGCCCGCAGCCCGGGCGGTCGGCGCTGCCCGGCTCCCAGTTTCAGGGGCGGCTGCTGCCTGCCCTGCCGGTCGGGCCTGCTCGGCAGCGGCTGGGGCGGCTTCGCAGCCGGTTGCTCCGGGGCCGTTCCCAGCCGCCTGCCGAGGCAGCCCCAGCTGGCGGCCGCCCAAGCGCAGGGAGCGGCCGGCGCGGGGATGGGCCCCTGTGCCGGGGGCCGCGGCCGCGCCGCCCCTCCGCGGGCAAGAGGGGGCACGTCCCCCGCGGCCGCCGGCGGCACGGAGCGGCTTGGCGCGGCCGGCGCAGGGCGGCGGGGCTCGGGTGGGTCTGGCGCGGCGATGTCCACTCCTACACCGGCTCCGCGTGACACGGCACGGAGCCGGCAGCGCCCCTCGCCGGGCATGGTGCTGTGCGCCTGCCCCTGCCTTTGCCAGGGTGCAGGCAGGACAGACCTGCAGCCCGGTGTCGCCCTGCAGCCCCGGTGCCACCCTGCAGCCCGGTGTCACCCTGCAGTTCTGGTGTCACCCAGCAGTTCTGGTGTCGCCCTGCAGCCCCAGTGCCACCCTGCAGTTCTGGTGTCACCCTGCAGTTCTGGTGTCACCCTGCAGTTCTGGTGTCACCCTGCAGCCCGGTGTCACCCTGCAGCCCCGGTGCCACTCTGCAGCCCCGGTGTCACCCTGCAGTTCTGGTGTCACCCTGCAGTTCTGGTGTCGCCCTGCAGTTCTGGTGTCACCCAGCAGTTCTGGTGTCACCCTGCAGCCCGGTGTCACCCTGCAGCCCCGGTGTCACCCTGCAGCCCGGTGTCACCCTGCAGTTCTGGTGTCACCCTGCAGCCCCGGTGTCACCCTGCAGTTCTGCTGTCACCCTGCAGTTCTGGTGTCACCCAGCAGTTCTGGTGTCACCCTGCAGCCCCGGTGTCACCCTGCAGTTCTGCTGTCACCCTGCAGCCCTGGTGTCACCCAGCAGTTCTGGTGTCACCCTGCAGTTCTGGTGTCACCCTGCAGCCCCGGTGCCACCCGGCAGTTCTGGCGTCACCCAGCAGTTCTGGTGTCACCCTGCAGCCCTGGTGTCACCCAGCAGTTCTGGTGTCACCCTGCAGCCTCGGTGTCACCCGGCAGTTCTGGTGTCACCAGCAGCCCCACTGTCTGGGAGACAGGGCAGGTATCACCCAGCAGCCCCAGTGTCACTCAGCTGCACCAGGCAGCAGAGAGGGCATTCCCCATGAAGGGGCACAGCATTACAGGCCAGGTTGCAGCCCTGGAGCCACTGCTGCTGCCTGTACCCTGCCTGTGGGACAGGGGAGTATCAGGCTCCCTCTTCCCACAGACTCCATGGCCTGCTTGCACCGGCTCCACGGGGATGCTGCATGTTCCCAGCGCAGCTCCATGGGGACCCCGGTGCCAGTGCTGGCGGTGCCAGGTTTGTGGCTGAGGCCAAGCCCTGCCAGCGCAGCGTGGGAAAGGCCGGGCTGGCGCAGGCAGGGCTTGGCTGGGCGAGGAGCGGCCCCAGGCTGGGGCAAAGCAGGAGGGAAAGGGGCCCGGCCCCCACCGGGAGCGGGGGCAGGAGCTGGCGGCGCGGGTGCTGATCCTAATCTGTGGTGGCAGGAAACGTGGCCCCCGTTCCCAGCCCGGCCAGGCTCCTCTTCCCGGCACTCGCCACCCACCCTCGCGGTGCCAGTGAGGCCGCGCTCCCAGCACGGTGCTGCCGGGAGCTGGCGGCTGCACCGTGGCCGTGCCGGGGGGCCGCAGGTGGGTGGGCTGGGGCAGGAAGCGCCGCGCCTCGGCGCCCGCTCAAAGGCACCACGCTGAGATTTCCCCCTTTGCTGTGGTGGCGCCGGGGGGGCAGCGCGGGCACCCGGTGCTGCCGGCAGAGGAAGCGTGTGGGGGGCTGCGGCGGGCGCCGTGCGCCCTCCAGCCTTGGTATGGGCTGTGGGGGGTGAGGGCAGCCCCCAGCGCCCCACAAGCTGCCTGGGTTTGGTGTCCCTTGTGCCACCGCCACCAAGCCCTGAGCAATGGAGGTTTCTTCACACCCTGGCTTCGCGGTGGAGCCAATGCTTCCGCCGTGGCGGCGTTTCCTCCGAGCGCCGTCTCTCGGCCAGTCCCCGTGCTGGTCAGTAAGCATCCCCGTCCTTCCCACAGGTGAGGATGATGGCCAGCCCGGAGGATGACCTCATCGGCATCCCCTTCCCCGAGCACAGCAGCGAGCTGCTGAGCTGCCTGAATGAGCAGCGGCAGATGGGGCTGCTCTGCGATGTCACCATCAAGACACAGGGGCTGGAGTATCGCACCCACCGCGCCGTCCTGGCCGCCTCCAGCCGCTACTTCAAGAAGCTCTTTGCGGGGCCGGGGCCGGGGCAGGAGGTCTGCGAGCTGGACTTTGTCGGGCCGGAGGCGCTGGGCGCGCTGCTGGAGTTCGCCTACACAGCCACGCTCACCATCAGCAGCGCCAACATGGGCGAGGTGCTGCGCGCCGCGCGGCTGCTGGAGATCCCCTGCGTGATCGCTGCCTGCGTGGAGATCCTGCAGGGCAGCGGCATGGAGGCGCCCGGCCCCGACGACGGCGACTGCGAGCGCGCCCGCCAGTACCTGGAGGCTTTCGCCGCGCTGCCCGAGGGTGAGCTCCTGGCCCCGCCGCCCTCGCGCCCCGCCGCACGCCGCAGCAAGAAGACCCGCAAGTTCCTGCAGACCCGCGGCGCCCGGCTCAACAACCACGCCGAGGAGCTGCCCGCCGAGGCCGAAGGCTGCAGCAGCCCCCCGCCGCCCCCCCAGCCGCCCTCACCCCCCCTGCCCGAGGGGCTACCTCTGTCCTACGACAGCTTTGAGCTGCCCGAGGAGGAGGAGCTGGCCCCGCATCCCTTCCCCTTCCCCTACCAGCCTCCCCTGTCCCCTGAGGAGGCCGCCTCTGATGAGGACGCCATTGACCCCGACCTGATGGCGTACCTGAGCTCGCTGCACCACGAGTCGCTGGCGCCAGGGCTGGATGCACCTGACAAGCTGGTGCGGAAGCGCCGCTCGCAGATGCCCCAGGAGTGCCCCGTCTGCCACAAGGTCATCCACGGCGCCGGCAAGCTGCCCCGCCACATGCGCACGCACACGGGGGAGAAGCCCTTCGCCTGCCAGGTCTGCGGGGTCCGCTTCACAAGGTGGGTGCAGCCTGACGGGTACCAGACAGCATCCCCCATGGCACCTCCCCTGCAGCCAGGCATGGGGCAGCGCAGGTCCATGGGGTCTTCTGCACTCCTGGAGAGCTGCTGGAAACGTCAGGATGAAGGCGCTGGCACTGCCTGCCCCATTCCTGGCAGTGTTCAAGGCCAAGTTGGATGGGGCTTGGAGCAATCTGCTCTAGTGGAAGGTGTCCCTGTCCATAGCATGGGGTTGGGACTGGATGAGCTTTAAGGTCCCTTCCAACACAAACTATTCCATGGTTCCATGCCCTGCCCTGCCTGCCACCCAGGCCAGCATCCTCTACCTGTACCTGGCTGCATCTCTGGTGCGGTAAAAACAGGGACCCGTTGCCCACCACCACCACTGCCTCCTGCCTCACCAGACCCCTGCATTCTGCAGAGCATCCCTGCCCCGCATCCCATCCCTGCCATTTGGCTGCCAGCACCGCCCCCCCTGCAGCCGCGTGGCTGCTGCTGGGGGCTGCCGGCTGCCCCGTGCCGATGTCTGCCTGTACCCCCCCATCCAGGAACGACAAGTTGAAGATCCACATGCGCAAGCACACGGGCGAGCGGCCCTACTCCTGCCAGCACTGCAGCGCCCGCTTCCTGCACAGCTACGACCTGAAGAACCACATGCACCTGCACACGGGCGCCCGGCCCTATGAGTGCTACCTCTGCCACAAGGCCTTCGCCAAGGACGACCACCTCCAGCGGCACCTCAAGGGCCAGAACTGCCTCGAGGTGCGGACCCGCCGCCGCCGCCGCGAGGAGCCGCCGCCGCCACCGGTGGGTCCCCCCGGCCTCGACCTGTCCAACGGGCGGCTGGAGGGGCTGCGCCTTTCCCTCGCCCGCTACTGGGGTCCGGGAAGGATCAAGGAAGAGGAAGAGGAGGCGGAGGGTGAGGAAGGGCCGCAGCCGGACGGCGCCGTGAAGGTGGAGACGGCGTAGGGTAGCTGCGGTGGCGGGTGCTGAGCCGAGCCGTACCCGCCGCGGGTTCTGTTCCCGTTTATCCCGTCACGGTTCATTCCCAGTTATGCAAAGGGGGAAACTACCCCTGGCCGATTTGCACAATGCGTGGGGGGGGTCCCCGCTGCCTTCTCCCCCACCGCCGGACACGGGACCCCCCCCCCCGGGGGTCTGCGAGGAGTCGGGGGGGAGGCAAAGCGGGACCGGGGTGACCCCCCCCAACCCTCCGGGGACAAAACCCCCTCAGCATCAGCGGGGCCGGGACCGGTCGGGGGCCCCCACGGACCGACCCCCCCGCCCCCCAACCGGGGAGCGCTTCCACTGGCGGCCCCGCCCCGCGCTGCGCATCGCTTGTCCCCCCCCCCTCCCCGCCCCGAGCAGCCCCTCCCCGGCGAGACCCCCTCGCCCCTGCACTCCCGGCTGCTTTCTCTTGGTTGCACTATTCGGGTGACCGCGCCCGGGTGCGGGGCAGCCCCGGCCCCCACCCGACTCCCCCCACCCTCTATAAACCACCGCGGCCCTGTGGGACCCCCCCCTCCCGGGTGGCCGGACCCCAGCGGCCACTCCTCTGCCCTTTGCACATGCCCTCCCTCTCGGGCGCATCCCCCCCGGGGGGGACCAGGGGACCGGCACTATTTGCCTAAAATAAGAGTTTATCTATATTTAAAAAAGTGATGTAATATATTCCCCCCCCCCCTCCACCCCTTCCCGGCCCCTCCGCTGCTGCCGCCAGCGCTGCCCGGCCCCCACCTCTGTCCCTTGCCATGGGGTGCCGGGAGGGGTGATGGGGACGCGGGGCTCGGCCCCCGTCATGGCTTTAAAGTGCCTTATGGTGAACTTGAATCTTTCGGCTACTTGAACCTCTTTGGTGTCAGGAACCAAACGAATAATCGGCGGGCGGCCCTCCCCCTTCCCCCCCCCGCCCCGCCGCGTCGCCTCTGTCTGTCTGTCTGTCTGTTTGTGTTTTGTTTTTTTTTAAACGAAGGCTGCTTGGTAATAAACGGAGAAGCAGGGACCCCCCCGCGCCCGTGTCCGTCCATCCCGCGCCCGTGTCCGTCCATCCCGCGCCCGTGTCCGTCCATCCCGCGCCCGTGTCCGTCCGTCCCACGGCCCTCCCCAGGCAACTCCGCTCAGGTCCGGGGGGGTGCGCGGTGAGCAGGGCTGGGGCACAGTAGGGATGGGGACGGGGGCAGTGAGGGGATGGGTACATTGAAGGGCTGAGGGCACCGTGGGGCAGGGGGCTCTGTGGGATGGAGAAGGTGGCCCCATGCGGTCGGAACGGCCATGGGCAGCCGGGCATTAGCTCGGGATACCGGACGCCTCGGGAACCGGGTACTTTATTGACCAGCCCCGGCGGCTCCCGGCGCTCCAGCCACGTCCCGGGGCCCGGCTCTGCGTCCTCGCCGCCGCGTGGCACCGTGCGGGCGTCACCGAGCCCTGTCCGTGCCGCGGGGCGGCCGCAGGGTCACCACCTCCTCCAGTTCGCTGCCGCTGCTCTCACGCCGCTCCTGGTAGCCAAAGTCCAGGCTGGGGAGGGGAGAGAGGTGTCGGGGAACCGCACTCCCGGTGCCGATGGGTGCCGGGAGCAGCGCCGGCCCTCACCTGGAGACAGCGCTGCTCTCGCTTTCCACCTCGCTGCTGTCCCCGTCGCTCTCCCCGCTCGCCTCCTCCTTCAGCTGGGCTCGCAGCCGCGCTGCCAGGTTGGGGGGCAGCCGCCGGGAGCCCCCCAAGCCCCTCTCCAGCTCCCTGATGCGCTGCCGCAGCAGCCGCCCCTGCTCCAGGCCCCGCCGCGCTCGCACAGCGCCCAGCCACAGCCCCACCGTCTCCTCATCGCTGGAGTCTCTGCAAGGATGGGGCAAGGGGTGAGCTGCAGTGCCCCGGCCCCCGGGCTTTGCGGGGTCCCTGCACCCCCTGCTCACATCTCCTTGTCCCCAACGTCCGGGTAGGTCAGGGGGCCCATGCAGATGGTGCAGATGTTGTTCAGGGTTTGGTGGCAGTCTCTGCAGTACAGCCCTGGGACAATGGCACTGTGAGAGGGGTGGGAGATCTTGGGGGCTGCCTGTTCCCCATTTAGGGGGGGTCCTACCTTTGCATCCGTTTGTGATGCAGGTGATGAAGTCGGGCTGCTTCGTCACCCCACAGGCCAGGCAGCGCTTCTGCTGGATGCCAAAGAGCCGAGCCAGGCGGGCAAAGCAGGGCACCCTGCAGGCAGAGCTCCGTCACTGCTGGGTCTGCCCTTGCCGGTGCCGGCATGGCCCTTCTGCAGTGCCCAGCGAGGTGCCTGTGTGTCCAGGGTGGCTCCAAGCCCATGGATGCATCCCTCGGGGGGCTTACTTGGCAGTGAGGACGAGAAACAAGTTCCCTTTCCCGGCGTCGGCCGTGCGCAGTGTGGCGGCTCGGAGCAGGGCTCGTGCCAGCCCTGCCCGCTGTGCCAGGATGGTGCTGTGCAGGAACACCGTGCGCTCCTGGCACGGCAGGGACACGGGGTGAGGGCAGGCGGCTGCTGGCGGGATGCTGGGGAGCTGGGGGTGGGCTCCTCACCTGCTCACGGCTCGGGTAATAGGTGGCACACACCAGCCGGCGCAGCCGTGCCACGTAGCTGCCGAAGATGGAGATGAAGAGGCAGATGCCGTACAGGATTCCTGGTGGGAGCAGGATGAGTCACACGGGGCAATCCCTCCAGTACCCCCCCACGCCATGCATTCTGTGGGTGCAACACCCCGTCACCCATGAAGACGTAGGTTCTGTAGTCGGGCTCCACAGGCTGGATGAGGCAGCGCTGGGACACCACCGAGATGTTGCCCTGCTGCAGCACACCGAAGGCAGATACCAAGTCCCGGTAGATCTCACTGGTGTAGCCTGACCCGTTGACGCTGACACCCACCACCACCGGTGCTGGGGGGGACAACGGCTCAGACCCAGGCAATGGAGCACCCACCGCCCCAAAGCCCTGGGCCCCAGCCAGCAAAGCACCCAAGGCTGCTGCTCTGGCAGGTGGGTGCTGCTCACCCCTGGCAACAATCTCCCCCTGCAGCTGGTGCCGGATGAGGTCAAGCAGCCAGAAGAGGCTGTAGTCGGCCAGGATGATGCAGAAGCCCAGCAGCATGTGGCGCAGGAACCCCACGAGCTGCAGCCCGTACTGGCGGTGCTCCTTCCGTGACAGCCACAGCCCAGCTGCGGGCAAGAACGACGTGAAGCCAGGCTCTGGGCAGAGGGGTTTCACCTGGGGATGCCCCCGGGCATGGGGCTGACCTGGGGAGATGTAGAGGCCGCACTCCCGTGCTGTCAGAGGCAGCACTGTGGGTTTGCCCTGCTCTGCCCGCAGCTGGTCCAGCTCCATGAAGCGCCGTGTGATGTAGATGTTGTCGAAGGTCTCATCCTGCAGGTACCGGTGCCGGTACCGCAGCGCCCTGGGGACACGGGGGGGAGCTGGGCACTGGCACATTCGGTCCCTGTCCCCACGGGGGGGCAGAGCAGGACCCGGCCCACTCACTTGAAGTACATGTAGAGGATAGCGAGGAAGGAGACGTTCAGGAAGAGCCCCAGAATGCGGCGGGTGGGCTCCATGCTCTGGCTCACACCCTCCATGATGTCCAGGGCCACCTCTCCCAGGCTCTTGCTGGCGTTGAAGCTGATGTCAAACTCGTGCACGGCCGAGATGTTGAACTCAAACTCCCGGCGGACACGGTCCAGAGCATTGTTGAGGGCTGTGGGGGTGACAAGTGGTGCTGGGGGTCAGGGTGAGAGCGGGGACAGGGCATAGGGACCCCTGCCAGCACTGCTCTACTCACAGGTGGCAACGTTGGTCTGGATGAAGTTCTGGATGTACTGCGGGATGATGCAGAAGACGAGGGCAACTGCGGGGAGGGGGGTCTCTGCCACCTCTGCCAGGGTGGGACCCCTGCAGTGGGCACGGGGCCACTGTACTGACCCCCCCGCAGAAGGGTAGGGCCCCACGCACCGTTGGCCAGCCCGCAGAGAGGCTTGAAGGCAGTGATGATGTAGCAGAGGAAGAAAAGGAAGGGGATGGCGCGCTCGCAGTTGTCCTTGGCCTCCTCGAAGAGTCTCAGGCAGCGGTAGAAGGGCGAGCCCAGCTCCTTGTTGCACACCCGGCCGATGCTCGCCAGCCACAGCCACACGTTGTGCAGGGCTCGGGCTGCAGAAGGGGAGAAGGCAATGGGAGACGGGCAGGTGATGGGGCTGAGAGCAGGGTGGGGGTGTTGGAGGCAAGGGAGACCCTCGGGGACCCCCCACTCACCGACGTGGCTGACGGCATCCATGATGGAGCGAAAGAACTTGCGGACGCGGTCACCCACTGCCTTGGCTTCCTGTGCAATCTCCTTGATCTTGGACAGAAAGTCTGCAGAGAGGAGACCCCTGAGCACACCCCGAGGGGCAGCCCAGGGCCAGATACTGCTGCGGGAAGTGACTGTCCCATAGAAACATGGGATGGTTTGTGTTGGAAGGGGCCTTGAGGTCATCCAGTCCCAACCCCTGCCATGGGCAGGGACACCTTCTACTAGAGCAGGTTGCTCCAAGCCCCTGTGTCAAACCTGGCCTTGAACACTGCCAGGGATGGGGCATTTACCACCTCTGTTCCAGTCCCATCCCACATGCCACCGCATCCCCCGGCCCCTCATCTCACTGATCAGTGGCTCCTGGGCGCGCTGCAGCCTCTCGGCTGTCTGGTTGAGGGCGAGCTCAGCCCCACATGACAGTGACTCGGCGGCACGGGAGAAGTTGTGCAGGACGTTGGTGCAGGGGCCCTGCACAGCCATGGTCAGCGCCAGCAGCAGCATCAGCATCTTCCCCTCCCCTGCGGGACAGGGTGGTCCTGGGGCTCAGCTGGGACCTGGCGCTCCCCCCATCCCTCCCAGTGGCTCCTGGTGGCTGCTTACGGGTGAAGATCTGGGGCAGCGACAGCAGCACCGTGACCTGCGCCTTGGCAGAGAAGGCCATGCCCAGCCCCAGCAGGGCGCCCAGGCCGATGGTGGTGATCAGGCAGTACCAGATGTTGTGGCCCTGCACCAGCAGCACCAGAGCCCCGTAGAGGCTGGCCAGGGCTATGCCCAGCACAAAGCCACAAGCGCTGCGGGCCACTTCCCGCACCCTGCTCGGCTCCTGTGGCTGCTGTGGCTGCTGGGACCGTGGTGCCAGGCTCCGGCCCCTCCGCCCCAGCCACGAGACCAGCCCCATGCTGGGCTGCGCTCCCCCGGGCTCTTGGTGCTCTCCCAGGCTCCAGGCTCAGCGATACAGCAGACTGAAGGAGCAGCTCAGTGAGCTGGTTGCAGGGGAGCACCTCAATGTTGTCGGTGCGAGGGTGTCGGTTCTAGAAGAGCATCCTGCCGTTGTCAGTTCTAGGGGAGCATCCTGCTGCTGTTGCCAGGGCAACATCCCACTGTCATCAGTACCAGGGCAGCATCCCTCTGTTGTCGGTACCAGGGCAGTATCCCTCTGTTGCTGGTACCAGGGCAGCATCCCTCTGCTGTCAGTATCGGGGAGCATCCCTCTGTTGCTGGTACCAGGGCAACATCTCTGTTGTCAGCACCAGGGCAGCATCCTGCTGCCATCAGGACAGGGGCCATGGAGCCAGCAGAGGCTCCTGGGCGAGAGCGCTGGGCAGGGGCAGAGGCACGCAGGAGGCAGAAGCCACCCAACACGAGTGAGATCCCTCCCATTCCACTCCCGGCCAGGGCTGCCCGTGGGCACTGGGAGGGGGCCGGGCTGACGCCTCCCTCCCCACCCAGCCCTGCAGCGAGCGGTGGTCTCGCTGCTGCCGGCCCCGTGAAGCCGGTTCCTCTGGAGCCGGCCGGACCAGCACCGCTGCAGCAAGTTCTTCCTGGGTGCCAGCGCTGGGACATCTGCCTGCCCGTGTCACTCCTCTGCCACGCTGTGAAGGGTGGGTGGTGTGTGGGACCCCTGCCCTGTCCACTGCTGCCTGTGCCAGCACCATGCCTGGGGGTCCTGGCTCTGCCACCACTTGGCCATCCATGTTATGGGAATGTCCCTGATGGA